ATGCACTGAACTTAAAAAGAAATCACAAGTCATACCGCGAAAACTTGAGCGTGAACAAATTTTAAGACTTTTAATGAAAAAAAAATCAGCAAGACCTATCTAGAGTCGTCACTACGTTCATTACTCTTAAAAATGATCAAATAATTTTGAAAATTTCCAAGTTGTTAGCGTTGTTTAAAATGATTATCGAAAAATATGCGTTTTTTTAAGATATCGACTGAGCGATGAAAATGAAACAATTTGGAACTTTTTCGAAGCAAGCTACCAAACAATAACACTTTGATGAAATCCAGGTTGTGCAATTAGTTTGAATCTAATCGCAAGATTTCAAACCTTTTCAGTTAATCTTTTCAGCAATAAAATTCGAATCGTTTTTGATTGTTTTCATAGCTTGAATCGAATCCGGAAAAGATCAAGCGCCTGCTTAAATAAGCCACTACTCCAGCCAAAATCATGTATCCTCGGTCGCACTTATGAAGTGAAGACAAACTAAACTGATTATGTTTTTCTTTTTTAAGTATTCAGAATTTAAGATTTGTCAACTCGTCCTAGTCTTTTAAACTACGAGCTACTGCAAGGCCGAGCTTTGGCATTACAATAGCAATCGTAAACAACACCCCGTTAGCATGCAAAAACGGGTACAAAAATTTGAACAAGACTGCTTTGAGTTTTTCCAAGTTTTAAGGTTGTATGAAAGATTCATAAGCAAGCTCATATCTTCTATACTATAAACTATCGGAAAGAAGAGTTTTCGCATTGAAAACACAAACCCAATCACAATCCGTGCGGAAACAAAAATTTGAATCTCATTTTTTTTGGAACTTTACTCTAAACTTTGAGAACTTTTCTTATTCATATAATTCTCCATATCTCCTAAGCTACGAGCTTCTGGAAGGCAAAATTATAACAAAAGCATGACAATCCTATACAACACTTGTGTTAGCATGCTTTTACTGGTAAAAGAATTTTTTTAAATTTTTTTTTCAGTTTTAGGACTTTTTAAAAGATTCATAAACAAGCCCATATCTTCGACTTAGAAGTTTTGGAAGAGCAAAATTTAGCATTAAAACCGCAGCGCTAAACTATCCTTCCATGAGCATGCCAATACTTGAAGAAAACTTCTTTGAATTTTTCTCTAAATTTCCAGAACTTTTTATGAAAAAATTCCTGCAACGTTTTGAAGGTGAGCTTCAATTATTGAGTTTCTATTATTCTTATTAGATCGCATACTTCGACTTTGAGCTTCTGGATGGAGCAGTTAAATTATTGGGATAGCAACCCTAAATTACACTGGCTTTAGCAAGCAAGTACGGGAACAAAGTTTGAACTTAAGTTTAAATTTATCCAGACTTTGGATTGAAAAGGACTTCTAGAATATTATGCTTATTTTGTCGCTTTTTTCCCTGCGCTGCCCAGCATTGCCTCGCGCCACCTTTCTCTGCGCTGTCCTGATTCTCCTTGCTCTGCCTTGCGCTGCCATGCTTTGCATCGACCTGCTGCTTGACGCTGCCCTGCTGCTTGCCTTAAGCTGCCTCCCCTTGCCTTACCCTAACCAGTCCCTCTTGCTCTGCCTTACGCTGCCCTGACTTGCCCCTCCGGTGCAATTTTCTTACGTTTTTTTAAATTTTTTTCGTTGAAACAACGACAGATGCAATATAAGGCCATTAAGCCGATGAAATATAGTTCGAAACCAATTCAGGCGAAACAAAAAAGCTAAAAAAACTTGAATTAGATTTTCTATTAAGATTTTAGCAGAATGTGCAATCCAGATGTGAGTTTAAAAACTACAATCCACTTTAAACGACTGAAAGTTAGGTCACTAAGTCAATAAAATATTGATTTTATGTTATCGCAAAAAATTATGGCCTTGAGGCTCTTTGATTTTCAAATACAAAATATGATAGACACCAATTTGATTGAAATAACCCTAAAAAAAATAGCCACTGCCAGTTGGAAAAGTGTGATGAACGCAAGAAACTAAAAAAAAAACAGGCTTGTTTTTTCAAAATCTTCAACTTTTGATTTTCAAAGGAAAAAATAGATAACCTTAAAGCTCTTTGAATTTGTAGAACAATTTATGATGGACACGCTTTTGTTTAATTGAACCCGATTTGAGAAAACTAGATCAATAGGTAAAACTTTTATTTCGCTGGGAAATCTGATCATTATTTTCCATTTTCGAAATTAGAATTCGATCACGTTTTTCGTGATCTTTGCAATTTTGCTGTTTGATACTGGAGTTTGTCTTCCTTTTAACATAAGAAAAGTAAGGAACTTAAAAAGACAAATCACAAGTCAAACCGCGAAAAATTGAGCGTGAACAAAGTTAAAGACTTTTCCAGAAAAAAATCACACCGCAAATCTTACGAAAAAAAACTGCTCAGCCAAATTAAGCACCCTCACTTCGTTTATCGACTCTCAAAAACATAGCCAACTGTCTGTTTCAATGCGACAAAACGGATCTCAATTTAATCTCATGCTCTGCAGTATAAAGTCCAAGAAAATACCCAAATTACTGTTCAATTTCTCTTGTTTCTGCTCTTAGTGGAACCTCCGATATTTTTTCCTTTTTTAAGTGCCTTGAAAACTGAAAACTCAAGTTTCAATGAAGTTCAGCAGCCTTTGACCCGAGAAATAAAGCTATACTTATACAACCTAGATCCTTATTTCGCAGAAGTTCTCAAAATTTTGACATCTCCAAACTTGTCCATTAACAATCAAAGGCAATAAAAATAGCAAAAATTTGAAACTGTTTTCAACATTTGACATCTTCGAGCTTCAAAGTGCAACAAAAAACTTAGAATTGCTACTGGCGAAAATAGGCTTTGTGCATGCGCGAAAAAAAATAGCAAAAAAGTTATTGCAGAAAAAACTTCTTTTCGAAAAAAAACTAGATTTTCAGCAAATGCCAGGATTGAAACCAAAGCCTCGAATAGCACTTAACTGCCTGAATTAAAAACGGTGCGATTTTCTTACGTTTTTTCAATTTTTTTCGTAGAAACAACGATACGCAGGTAAGTTATGCAGGGGAGTAAAAATTATGCAGTGGAGTAACCGATTATGCAAAAAAAAACTGCAACCAGTTCTTCCGATAGAACCCTTCATCTCAGATGTCGTTTGAGAAAGAGGACTATGAAAAAAATGGGCGAAAAATTCCGTGAAAATGAACAATCTATTGCCGTAGAGAGTGGAAGAAATGTAATTAGATACGAGAAGAATATTTAAGCACTCGTTGCTGTTTTCTTTTCGTTCAATTTGTGAAAATCGGCAGGGTAGTTTTTGAGAAAAGTGAAAAAATCTAAATTTTAAAGCGTCTCGAAAAAATAGATAATAAAAACCCAATCAACGTTTCATAATGCCTGTTTTTATCAAACAGGAACTTTTTTGTCTAGTTGAGTAATTATTAGTACCAATAAGCTTGCCCCAATTCTATTTGTATGAATTATTTGAGCACTTTGAAATAGAGAACATAATTTGAACACAGAGGCGAAGCTGAGCTTCGCACCACTTGCGATACAACAAATATACAAGGCAATAGAATGTGAATTTAGCATCGTAAAAAATTACCAAGCGGTAAAAAAAGCCGAAAATACCTCACCAGAAACCCTTTAAGCCGAAAAAATCAATGAGACGTAAGAATTATTAGAAGTTTAAAAGTTGCCCTCGCCCTCATTACACACAAACAAAAAACTTTAATTAACCGCCAAATGAAATAATATGAAGCCACTAAGCCGATATAATAAAGGCTTAAACCAATTAAGACAAAATTTTAAAAAAAAAAAGGCGAAAAAAATTTTAAAATGCAGGACTAATAAAAAATGATCAAGTCCCCCTCGACCTCAAAATACACAAGCACACACAAACTTTTTTCGCTGCTCGACAGACTCAATATAAATCCATTAAGCCGATGAAATATAGGTCGAAACCAAGTCAGGCGGAAAAAAAACAAAAATACCGAAAAAACTTGAACTAGATTTTCTATTAAGATTTTAGCGAAATGTGCGATGCAGATGTGAGTTTTAAAACTACGTTCCTTTTTAAACGACTGATAGTTAGGTCACTGAGTCGATAAAAAATTAGCCGAAATCATTTGTACAGAAAAATATTAAGAGAAAACTAACAGAAAAATATTAAGAGAAAACTTACAAAAAAATATGCATGTCAAGAAATTAAAACACTAAGAGCAATTACAATGAAAATTGCGCATATCAAGCAAAAATTTTACAATGAGGCAACTAGACCGACAAAACATAAGCAGACAAATAAAAAAAACCGACAATTTGTTTTGAAACGGAAAATTTCCCGTTTGAAAAAAAACAGGTCCCGGTCAGATTCGAACCAGGCGGATTTGTTACCTCCAGGGTGGACCGGAAACGCTAAGAATTTGAAGGGCGCCGGGAACACTCAGGGTGAGTCCAGAAGTACTCTAGAGATGAGTCTTGTAGACGAAGTCGTTAACTGGAAAAAAAGGCTTGCTCCATAATGCTTCCACAGAGGCGAAGCTGCGCTACGCAAACACTAGCGAGAAAACGTCAAAAAAAAGCTCTACAAAATACAAAAAAAATGAAACAAGCCTCGAATTAGTAAAACTTTGTATGAGTCGGATTCGAACCTGCGACCTCGAGAATAATAGTCTCACACCTCGAGTGTAATAGTACCAAAATGCTGTAGATCTGGGAAAACTGCATCAGAGAACTTGATTAGAAATTGGTGAACACAGGATCAATGTGTTATTTATTTTTCCCGCCATGTGATTTTTCCCGCCATTTGCACTTTTGCCATTGAGGAATGGAATTTGCCTTCCATTTAGCAAAATAATAAAGATGAATTTTAAAAAATCAAGAGGCAACCCGTAAAAAAAATTGAACAGCTTTGACGAATTTCTGAAAGAAGCTACATGATCTAATTAAGTGTCTTTACTTTATTAATTTACACTTCAGAATATTTCTCAACAAAACAAAAAGTGCGAAAAGACATGGTATTAAAAAGTCGTGACTAACCATTACACTGAGAATGTCGTGACCTTGGTCCTCCTTGTCACTGTGGATACCTCCTGTCGAACTAGACATACTCGACACTGATACTCGTTTCTCATACTTTTCCACGAATGGTCCCGCAGAGTGCTGTCGCATCATACTAGGCGGAGGAGGTCCTTGATTAGACGAAGTGGATATTGCGTAGTTGCTGTAATTGCTATCAAATGAAGCTGAGTGTCCGCTACTCGATACGCCAGCTGTGTTCATATAAAGGTGGGAACTAGAGGCCGTCGATGAAGACGATAGCGGGCCGGCGGCTGGGAGCTGAGATGCCGAATAGTTGAAGGAGTTGCTATTACTGTTATGACTCGTGAGAACAGGACTAAGCTCTATATACTCATTCGAAAGCATGCTCGGTTCTCGCTCGTCACCAGTACTTGCTTGGGAGTCCCTGTAACAAATGCACAACATATCAAAACAACCTATATGCAAAATAAAACGGTTGAAGGCCATAAACTGCTTCCTACAAACTTTGTTTATAACGCAAAAATGAACTACAGCCGTTCTTTGCCCTGCCTAAAAACAGAAAGTATAGCCGCAAAACAAATAAAATAGCCAAGTGACAGTTGGAAAAGAGCAATGAACGCAAGTAAACAGACAAAAAACGCTGGATTTTTGAAAAAACCTCAACTTTTGAATTTCAAAGAAAAAAAATAGAAGCCCTTTGAAATCTTTGAATTCGAGAACAATTTATGATTGGGGCGTTTTCGATAACATTAACTCAACTGGAGAAAACTGGATCCATAGATTAAGTTTTTATTCCGCAGGAAATCTAATTAAAGCCCGCTTTCAAAAGTAGAAATTGTTCGTTTTTTCGCGCCATTTCCACGTTCGTATCTGGAGAGTGCTATTAATTTAACTTTCAGCAGATTAATTTCAATTGAATTTAAAAAGTGCATATAAACCTAAGTACATTCATAAATGTATTAATATGTATGACTACACATTGAGCTCTTTCAGCAATTTATGATTGGAGCTTTTTTGATAACATTAACCCAACTTGAGAAAACTGGATCAATAGGTGAAGTTTTATTCAGCTTGAAATCTAAAAACTAAATGCCACTTTCGAAACTAGAAATTATTCTTGTTTTTTGCGCCATTTCACGTTCGTATATGGAGAGCGCTATTTACGTTACTTTCGGCAGATGAATTTCGGCTACATGTAATCATGAATGCATTACTGTGTATGAATGCACATCTGTAGTTATTAGAGCATTTTAAAAACTTTTTCCTGAAAACAAAAAAAATGACCATGACCAATATAAGAGTCTTCACTACGTTCATTACTCTTAATAACAGCGCAATCATTACCTGCTGATTTTGGAATCTCTATTAGAGTGTTGCAGACTACTCTGCGAAGCCAATGGGGATCCGAGGTCGGATGAGGCGATAGTGGATCCAGAGATGGATCTCAACTGGGACGACATGGATCCAGTGGGAGTGCTGGCACTGTTCTGCTGCTGAGCAGCCAAATTCACTGAGCGTCTAGTTGCTCCTGCTGCAGCTGAAGTCACGTCCAGATTCTTTTCCAGGTACAGTTCTGGTCTCTTGGCACTCCTCAGAGCCACTAGCCAGTCATTTTTGATATCCTCAGTGGGAGCCTTAAATGCAAACTCGATGCAATGTGCTGCAATACTCAATCTGACTTCAAGTTTAAACAAAACATTACGTTTTCCAACTCCGAACTGCAAAGATAAATCTCCTCCTTTCAAATCAAACACACCAATCAAAGGAACTTTATGTCTTTATGATTGTGAGAACGACTTACCCTGAGCACATATTTGTTGCTATCATTGTAGGGTCTGGAGAAGTAGAGTCCGAACTTTCTCTCAATGTCTACGTGGTCTGTGATGCTGAAGTCTGCACTTCGCACGTCGAACTTATTCTTGTAGAGGTACTTCTTCTGTCCATTGGCGTCTTTAACCACCTTAGCAAAGATGATGAAGTCTTCGAAGAGGAACACATGTCGCTCTCTGCCCTTCTTGATGAGTTGTCTGGGCTCCCACATTTGGAAAGTGTCCTGAAGGATCAGGTCTCCCTGCGAATCCAAGTTAAGCTAAAACAGAAAAAAAAAACTATTGCAATATGCATTCAAGAAACATAGCCAAAAGACAGTTGGAAAATGTCGATAAACAGTAGGATAACAAAAAACATTAACGACAGACAAATGAAAAAGAGTCAATGAACGCAAGGAACAGAAAAAACTGAGTTGATTTTTAAAGAAAGCTGCAACTTTCGAACCTCAAAGATAAAAACATAGCCAACACTGACTTGTTTTTCGAAAAAATTTCAACTTACGAATTTCAAAGAATAAAATAGATGCGCTAAAAGCTCTTTGAATTTATACAACAATTTACGACCGGCACTTTTTCGATAAAAATAAATCCAATTTAAGAAAAACAAGTATAATTTACATTTCGCTGAGGATCAATAAGTAAAATTTTTATTTGGCTGAGAAATCTGAAAACTAAATTACACTTTCGAAACTAGAAGTCGATCACGCTTTTCAATACCTTTACATTTTAGCTGTTCCTTAAAAAGGAAAAGAACTGAACTTAAAAAATTTAAAAAACAAACCGCTAAAAGTAAATTTGAGCCTGACCAAATTTTTAGACTTTTCCTATGTTCATCGACTCAAAAACTTCCCAGCACATAAATCTTATTCCGCAGTAAAATCTTGGAAAAAAAATCCCTTTTGAACCTGACAGATAATCCCATTTTTTGCGCCAATTACACATTTGTAATTGAATAGGGTAGTTCTCCTTCCATGTAGCAAAAAAAAATCCGAATGAAAAAAAAATGAAAGGCAAACCGCGAGAAGCAACTTTGAGCATCTTATTTTGCAATGGACTTTTTCTTGAAAAAAAAATACTAACAAAATTTCACACAGAGGCGAAGCTGCGCTCCGCAAACACTTGCGAGAACACGACCAAAAAGCAGCTCTAAAAAGTGACATCAGAAAAAGTAGAAATAAGGCTCGAATTTGAAAACTCGAGGCTTGGCAAAAACTCGATTTAACAAAAATCTGCGACCTAGCAAAATTGAGTCTCACTTACTAACCATTCAGCCACGGATGCTTAAAATACCCAAAAACTAGCCATTAATAATGCAGCTACATATGCTAATAAACTGCCAATTCGATATAGCAAAAGTAGCATCAAAGACAAAAAGATACAATTTTGCATGTAAAAAATCGCAAATCATAAAGCCATATTATGTATAAAATATGCATTTCAAAAAATTGCGAGATATATTGAGTTAGAAAGTTTCTGAAATCGAGATTTTTTTATTGTTGTTGTTTGAAGCAAATAGATTTCTTCGGTTCACTTGAATTAAAAATTCATCAACCGTGTAAAAATATTACTATTCGAATGTCAAAGCACATGTTATCAAGAAGCTGTAAAAGTGCAAGTAGAGGCCAGCTAAAGCTGGAAATACCTGTTGGATAATTTTTGAAATTTTTGTGTTGATCCGGAAGGACAAGGCTAATTTCAAAAACGGCCCTATAGCAAAGAAAAGAAAAGTAAATCCCAAGATAATGACTTCAAAATCTGTTAATTTCATCAATTAATTCAGTTTTCTTAAAAACTGAAGTGATTACAAGAGCTTTTTAGGTTAAAAGATGCTTAAAACGTTGCTTATTAAATTCGGGAGGGTAGTTTTTGAGAAGTCAAAAATTTTCAAAACACAGTCAAAATTCGACTTTTCTGAGGGTCATAACTTTTTGTGTAAAAGAAATTTGGCCTAACCGCAAATGCAAGAAAGCTTCTTCCAACCCATTTTACCTGTTGAAAACAAAACCTCAGATTTGAGGGGTAATTTTCGAGAAAAATCAAGTTTCAAAAAACGGTAAAAAAATCGTAAATTTGACTTTACTGAGGGCCATAACTTTTTGTGTGAAAAAATAGGGATAGCTCTATCCGTGAAAAACTGCTCTATCCGTTGAACCCAAAATCTAAGATTTGGACGGGTAGTTTTCGAGAAAATGCAAAAAATACAAAAATTTGGGTCAAAAATTCCCCCCCCTCACTTTTTCGAAGGCTGTAGAAAGTGGGGTAAGGTAAAAAAAGAGACTAGGGGAGTATGCAGGCACACAGGAGAGTGCGCGGATTTACCATTGGTACCACTCTTTTGAAAATCGGTGAATTAATTTTTGAGAAAAACGAAAATTTTCCAAAGCGTCTCAAAAAAAAAGAAAAAACCCGGTCCCAATAACATTTTCATAATACGTGTTTTTATCAAATAGGAACAAAATATCAAAATACCTTATTGCCAATTCGATGCAGCAAATTCGACGCAGCAAATATTGCTGCTTTAAGTGGCAACACTAACTGCAACTTAGTCGCAACAATATTTGCGACTACGTTCATTACTCTTAAACATTTTTCGATTTCATTTTTAGTATACGTGATCATATAAGAAGCGATGTTGCAGCGAGTTGAAATGCCTTCTGCAGCAACTTTTTCGAGTATTAGAAATTAGTGTTGTACACTTTGGATATTTTCAGACAGAGGCAAAGCTGAGCTTCAGACCAATTGCTAGACAAAACAAAAAACAGGAAAAAATCGAAAATGTCAAAAAAATATATCTATTAAAATGAATTATTAAGTCACGTCGCACTCACCTTCAAAACACAAACACATGTAACTTTTTTGCTGAAAATAACTAAGGTCGGTAAGTCAAACCAATATAGCCGAAAGCTATTGAGCCGGAAAAAAGAAAAATAAAAAAGCCGGATAAATTTATGACAAATAAAAAGTTTTTAAAACTCCCTCGCTCTCAAAACTTATAAACACACATTAAAAAAATTTCGCTTGTCAAACGACGCAATATGAGGCACTCCAGCCAATTTTATATAGGCCGGTAACCTATCAAGCGGAAACAAATAGGAACAAAAAAAGTGGAACAAAATTGTTGTCATGAAAAACAGTAAATTCTATTAAGGTTTTTAGCAATTTGTGCAATCCACAGAGGACCATGAAATTTTTAAAACTACTCAAAAAGAAAATTTGGGCAAAATACAGTTTTTAAGCAAAGAAAAATAAGAACAAAAGAAAACACACATGTCGAGGTTAGTAAAATTACCAATAGCAGAAAAAATCTGAACACTAAAATCAACTACAACTTTTTTTACGTATTGGCTTCGCACCAGCGACCTCGAGAATTGCAATCTTACACCATGCCCTCTCGACCACGAACGTTTAACAATCGACAAACACTAGTCACAGATAAAGCTGCTACATACGCCAATAGATTGCCAATGCGAAGCAGCAAAAGTGGCACCAAAAACAAATAGTCACAATTTTGCAGGAAATAATTTGGAATATAACAAACTGAAGGCATCCACACTAGCTTTCCATGTAGCAAATTGGAAAGCATAAAATCACATCATGTATAAATAATGCATTTCAAAAATTTGGTACCTATCAAGCGGAAACAAATAGGAACAAAAAAAAGCGGAACAAACTTGTTGTCATGAAAAACATTAAATTCTATTAAGGTTTTTCGCAACTTGTGCAATCCACAGAGGACCATAAAATTTTTAAAACTACTCAAAAAAAATTTGGGCAGAATACAGTTTTTAAGCAAAGAAAAACAAGAACAAAAGAAAACACACATGTCGAGGTTAGTAAAATTACCAATAGCAGAAAAAATCTGAACACTAAAATCAACTACAACTTTTTTTACGCATTGGCTTCAAACCAGCGACCTCGAGAATTGCAATCTCACACCATGCCGTCTCGACCACGAATGTTTAACAATCGACAAACACTAGTCACAAATAAAGCTGCTACATATGCCAATAGATTGCCAATGCGAAGCAGCAAAAGTGGCACCAAAAACAAATAGTCACAATTTTGCAGGAAATAATTTGGAATATAACAAACTGAAGGCATCCACACTAGCTTTCCATGTAACAAATTGGAAAGCATAAAATCACATCATGTATAAATAATGCATTTCAAAAATTTGGTACCTATCAAGCGGAAACAAATAGGAACAAAAAAAAGCGGAACAAAATTGTTGTCATGAAAAACATTAAATTATATTAAGGTTTTTCGCAACTTGTGCAATCCACAGAGGACCATAAAATTTTTAAAACTACTCAAATAAAATTTGGGCAGAATACAGTTTTTAAGCAAAGAAAAACAAGAACAAAAGAAAACACACATGTCGAGGTTAGTAAAATTACAAATAGCAGAAAACTGAGCACTAAAATCAACTACAACTTTTTTTACGCATTGGCTTCAAACCAGCGACCTCGAGAATTGCAATCTCACACCATGCCGTCTCGACCACGAATGTTTAACAATCGACAAACACTAGTCACAAATAAAGCTGCTACATATGCCAATAGATTGCCAATGCGAAGCAGCAAAAGTGGCACCAAAAACAAATAGTCACAATTTTGCAGGAAATAATTTGGAATATCACAAACTGAAGGCATCCACACTAGCTTTCCATGTAACAAATTGGAAAGCATAAAATCACATCATGTATAAATAATGCATTTCAAAAATTTGGTACCTATCAAGCGGAAACAAATAGGAACAAAAAAAAGCGGAACAAAATTGTTGTCATGAAAAACATTAAATTCTATTAAGGTTTTTCGCAACTTGTGCAATCCACAGAGGACCATAAAATTTTTCAAACTACTCAAAAAAAATTTGGGCAGAATACAGTTTTTAAGCAAAGAAAAACAAGAACAAAAGAAAACACACATGTCGAGGTTAGTAAAATTACCAATAGCAGAAAAAATCTGAACACTAAAATCAACTACAACTTTTTTTACGTATTGGCTTCGCACCAGCGACCTCGAGAATTGCAATCTTACACCATGCCCTCTTGACCACGAACGTTTAACAATCGACAAACACTAGTCACAGATAAAGATGCTACATACGCCAATAGATTGCCAATGCGAAGCAGCAAAAGTGGCACCAAAAACAAATAGTCACAATTTTGCAGGAAATAATTTGGAATATAACAAACTGAAGGCATCCACACTAGCTTTCCATGTAACAAATTGGAAAGCATAAAATCACATCATGTATA